GCATAAAGGAAAAATACTAGAACTCCTACAGCAGGTGGTGAAGGAAAGCGAGAAGAAAGGACTAATGCATGATACCAAAACGATGAGCCCCAAATCAGAGATAACAAAATCAAACAAAAAAAAAAAAAAAAATTAAATATCTGGGAAGTTTTTTGATAGAGGACGGAAAGTGCGACACTGAAATCCGAAGACGCGTTGCAATAGCGAAAGAGGCCTTCCAAAATCTAAGCAAAGTACTAAGAAAGAGGAAAAATTCGTTATAAACAAAGAAAAAAGTACGCTCAGCATAGTTGCAGTATAATCCATTGGTTAGTTTTGCAGGTATTAAAGAAATACAAAAAATGCCTGAGTAGGTGTCTCCAACAGGGATTAGCGAGCTACCAAACGGGCAAACTTAAAAAAAGATTAACCAGCCGTTATATATATAAAGAAGTAGTGATATAGCAAGAAAGACAGAGAAAAGGAGTGAGAAAGAAAGAGAGGGAGGAGTGAGAGGAGGAGAAAAGGAGAGGGGATAGAGAGGGGGAGGAAAAAAGAGAGAGGAAGAGAGAGTAAGAGAAAGAAACGAGGGAGAAAGAAAGAGAGTGTGAGAGATAGAGAGAAAGTGAGAGAAAGAGAGAGTGTGAGAGAAAGAGAGAAAGTGAGAGAAAACGATTGGAAAAGAAAGAGAGAGAAGGAGAGAGAGAGATATTGAAGAAGGGAAATATCCATTTGTTTTAGCGACACACAGACTGAACTCTGATCTTTTCTCATCTAAGTCGTGTGTGCCATTTGTGCTTGATTTTCTCAATTGTCTTTTAAAAACGTTGTGGCGACAAAAGACTTCAGACGACCTCGGAAGATGAATATTAGATCACCGGACAGAAGAAAATTGACACGCACGGACGATTTTTGCCCATTTGATGAAAGATTTTAAAAAAGATGAATCCATTCACAGTGTCAGTTGTTTCAAAATATTTAAGAAAAGAATAGGAAACAAACATTGAAGGTGCGCGTATTTGACGTTCACAGACACGTGCTTGCGTGAGAATTTCGTCACACGCAGATATAAAACGAAATTTGCCGATTGGCTTAAAGAGAGCATAATCGAGAAGCTGATTGGTTGGTATATCAACATCTCATTAATGCTGAAATCTACTTATTTTGAACACAATTTTATGGCTTCAACTACAGATAAAATGTATTGTTGGTGATTTTGCTTGAAATATGCATTGTTGGTAATTTTACTATAAATATGCATTGTTGGTTGGTTGGTTTTGTTTGGCGGCATATCAACATCTCTATGGGTTATTTAATATATATTTTGTATGTAATTTTATGCTTTCACCTACAAGTATTTTGTACATAAGTTTATACTTTCAGGGTAAAGGTACGTCTGTTTTTTAAATATAGAGTTTTTAGATCATATATTTATTGTTGTTAATTATACAATAAAAATGTATATTTTTAGTGTTGAATTGATTGCCATTTTGCTATAAAATGTATCGTTACTCATTTAATTATAAAAATTTACTGTTGATATTTTGTTTGATTGTTTGGTTGATTCTGTTTAACGGTAAATCTCGAGGAGTTATTTAATGCCGAAATCTAAGTATTTTGAACACACTTTTATAGCTTCAACTAAATTTTGAACGCAGTTGTATGCATTCAACTACAGATAAAATGTATTGTTAATTATTTTGCTATAAAATGTATTGCTAGTAATTCTATTATAAAGTGTATTTGTCATTATCCTTTAAAAATGTATTGTTGATCATTTTTTTTATATAAAAATATATTGCTGGTATTTTCACTATAATTTTTTTATACTATAAAAAAGTATTTTTATACTTTCATAGTGTTTTGTTTTTGTTTGGGTGTTCACTATTTGTCCATAGCTAGGACCCTAAGAAGTGCTACCACCCAGGGTCAGAGTGGATCTGGAAGTGGTTTCAGGTAACACAAAATTTCCAATCTCCCGATCTTGCTGCCAGATATAGTTTATCGTCATACCCAGGACGAAGAATAGAAAAGAAGAGAGATTGTTTGTATTATGCAAAAGCATTTGATAAAATACGCCACAAAGAACTGTTGGAAATGCTATGTAAGCTTGATTTATTTACGAAAGATATTAGAATTATCCAAGACTTATACTGGAAGCAAACGGATAGAAAAATAAATTCAGTAAATACGCAAAAAAGTGAAAGAAGCGTAAGACAAGGATGCATCGTCTCACCGGACTTATTCAATCTTCACAGTTGAAACAATCCTAAGAGAATTAGAAGTCCTACCAGGATTTATTATTAGCGGCTACAATCTTAACAATATTAGGCATGCAGATGACACAGTGTTGATAGCAGACATAGAAAGAAAACTACAGAAACTCTTACAGGAGGTAATAAAGGAAGGTGAGAAGAAAGGACTAAACGTCAGTTATAAGAAGAGAAAATGTATAGTTGTCAGCACTAAAACAAACAAAAAAAAATAAAACAAAACCAAAAAAAAAACAACTCAAAATGCGAATTACAAATTGGAGATACCAAAATCCAGCAAGTACAAAACCTTAAATGTTTGGTAGGTGTATTAAGAGAGGATGAAAAATGCAACACTGAAATCCGAAGGTGCAGTAGGATAGTGAAAATTGTTTTCTCCAAGCTAAGCAAGGTATTAAGAAACAGGAAAATTACATTAGAAACAAAGAAAAGAACACTAAACAGTTATGTAATATCAGTCTTCTTATATGGCGATGAATACTGGACAATCTCTTCATAAATAAAGAAGAGGCAATAGAAATGTGCTTCTACAGAAGGATGCTGAGAATACTATGCACTGAACGCGAGCAAGGGAAAAATGGAAACTAAATGGGCAGTTTGTATCATAAAGAGACAGTTGAGATTTCTAGGGCACATAATTAGGAAAGAAGGCTTAGAAAATCTGACACTCACAAGAAATATTAAAAGCAAAAGGGACAGCGGAAAGCAGAGCATAACCTACCTAATTGTTACTTTTTGGAACTGACTCCCAAGTGGATGCTTCTCCGATCGCTATAATCTTAACCTGTTCATGTCTAGGGTTAACCGTTATCTTCCCTACATATACCCATAAACTGTACCTCTTACTCGGGAATTTATTTCAAGTAGCTTCCGAAACTTGTACAGGATGAACATCACTGTAAAAAAAAACATATTCTGAAAAATGTTTAATTAGATTAATTTCAGGTATTGTCAACACCCCCATATATACGCTTTTTTTCTTTCTATGTGCCATGTCCTTTCAGGACGTAGGCGATCATGGCTCTCCACCTCCTTCTATCCCTTGCAGCTCCCAACAGGTTCTTTCCCTTTGCTACCTCCCCCAAACCATGTATCCCAGAATCTATTTCAATGAATTTGGAGAATATTTTTAAAAAGCTATTTTTTATTTCTGCTCATCATGCTTAATATGTTTTAAAAGTGTATAAATTTCAAATTTTGTTTACAACTTTATAATTTTTTCTAATTTGTTTTCTAATTTTATTTTCATTCCATTTCATAATCCTATTAATAATGAATACACAAGAACGCATCTTTGTTGATCTCACTCTGAATTTCTTTGCATGAGGTTTCATAAAAACAATGGTTTATCGCCAAATGATGAATAGTTTAACTGAACTTAAAGAACGTATTCAGTTAGCAGTGCAAGACATAACTCCTGAAATGCTTCAAGATATGTGTGATAAAGTAATCGGAAGTATTCGCCTTTGTTTTATGATTACCTCCCTTTTGAGAACTCTTTCGTTTGTAGAGGACTATAAATAGTCACTACGCTGGTATCAATTAGATACTAGAGGCAGAATAAAGCTTCCTTAAGCCTACTCTTGCACTCTTATGTTATTACAATGTGTTTCGCAACGCTAAGGATTGATTTAAAATTTGCCAGGATACAGACGGATGAAAATGAAGTTTTGACGTAAGATTTATAAATCTATGTTTTGTTCCATAATTAAGTAACGAACATAACACTGAGTCACTTTTTAAAAAAGATTGCCCGATTTCATTGAAATCAATAATCACCTTACATTTTTTCTTCTGTCTTATTTCAAAATCAAAACGGAATGGTCCGTTATTTATCTGAAGTAATGACAGAGAGTAACGGACTTAGGAAGAGAGAAACACACAGAATTATAATATGGTGGGGACTCAATACTGTTGATATACACCTAGTTTTTGAACATGTGGATGTATTGCTATGTCCGAGCTCTGATCAAAAAGTTTCGGGACTGGTTTCATAAAAAGAAAACTACAACACATATCAATTTGGCATTTAATATCCTTCGAAGTAGTCCACTTCTGAAACAACACACTTTACCCAGCATCGTTTCCATTGATGAAAGCATTCATTCTTGGAACTCCTTTTTTTGGGATAGCGAGCAGCTACCTCGTCGCATTCTCCTGGATTTTCTCGACGTCTTGAAATCTTTTTTCTATCAAGTGTTATTTGATTTTTGAGGAGGAAGGGGTGGGATCTGGGGAATATGGTGGCTGGGGATTGTTTTACTTGGCCAAAAACTTCTGCACAAAACATGGTCACTGATAGAATCTCTGTGGCGTAGTGTGGTGTGGCGTGGCGTAGCGTGGTGTGGCGTGGTGTAGTGTAGTGTGGTGAGAAGACCGCACTCTACACACTTTCCTACCATGCATTGCTATAAACAACGGATGTGAGCGAGAACGTTAAAACTTAGTGTGCATGCGCAACAGAGTCAATCTCTGCCAATGTCAATCTGTGCTAAACGACTTCAGTCGGTGTACTTTAGTTCAGTTTCCATAGCAACAGTCCCACTAATTTTTGATCAGACCTCATATATACGAACATCTACAGCAAAACCAGTTATATAACCCGTACGTTTACTCTTGAAAAAATTGAAATGCAACTTTATTTTCTGTCGGATAGAAGCGAACAAAAGGCTAAAAGAGAAAAACATGAGGTATATTAAAAATGCTAGAGTAGAAAAATTAAAAACAAAAGCAAAACCGGTGACAAAAATGAATCGAGACAACAGAGACATGACCGGGCAGCCTTTACCGGAAGTCGGGTTCAATTTATAATGGCAGCTTGTGTAGTGTTAGACGTGTCTATTCACTTCCGTTCACGCCTTCCGAAATGGTAGGCCTTTATTCTTTTGGTCTGGGAAAACGTGGACATCTTTCTCCTTTCTATTAAGCAATAATCACGCTGCAGCCACCTTTAACTTTTGTTTTGTTTATTATTCATTTTCTGTTTTTTAGGGATTCATTTTTCTTCTTTATTCATTTTATCATTGTGAGTTTTTTTTATCTCGTGTTTTAGCTTGAGATTTCTCCCTTCCTTTCTCTCTTCCCTTCTCTCTTTCTTATCCACTTTCCGTCTTAGAAGTTTGAACAAAGTGGTGTTTTAATATATCCTCTTTCTTTCTTTCTTTCTTTCTTTCTTTCTTTCTTTCTTTCTTTCTTTCTTTCTTATACCCACGTTTCCTCTTTCTTTCTTTCTTTCTTTCTTTCTTTCTTTCTTTCTTATACCCACGTTTCCTCTTTCTTTCTTTCTTTCTTTCTTTCTTTCTTTCTTTCTTTTACCCACGTTTCCTCTTTCTTTCTTATATCCATGTTTCTTATTTCTTTCTTTCCTTTTTCATTGAATTTTTTAAAAACTTCATTAATTTTTAATTTCTTGGTTTGAATCTATTCTTGGTATTTCATTTTATAATTTAAAAAAATAATTGCCAACTTTTTTCTTTCGTTTTCCTTCCTTGCTTTTATTCAAATAATTTTACACTTTTACTCTTTTTTTTAATGTTTTTTTCTCGTTTACGGTAACTTTTTTTTTATTTCCTTCTGTCATTATTGCTTTAACTTCTATGATGTTTCTTTCATTTGGTCAAATATATGGATTCTTTCATTAATTCCTTTCCAATATATTTCTTTCTTTGCTTCTTTGCCGTTTTTTAATTCAGTTATCCACATTTGTCTTAGAAGTTTGAACAACTTGGAGTGGTTTTAAGATTTCTTCTTCCTTTCTTTGTCCAGATATTCTTTCATTATTTAATTCTTTATTTCGTCTACATGTATTTTTCCTTTCTTGTCCTCATATTCTTTCTTTCTTTGTCCAAATATTCTTTTTTCCTTTCTTTGTGCAAATATTCTTTTTTCTCTCTCTCTCTTTGTCTACATTTTCTCTATCGGTATTTTCTAAGCATAGATTAGATGTGGTACAAGGCCGAAAGTATGGGGCACCCAGTGAAGATCGAACTCACTACTCAGTCGTAATTCTTCTAACGAGACAAGCTAGCTAACCATTACACCACCTCGAGGTACCTACCACATTTTCTTTATAAATAGACAAATACCGAATATTAACTTTAGAAGCTTTATTCTGTTAAACTAATCTTTACTAGTTAAACAGCCTTTTATACACATGTAGTTAGTATGACAATGGGTAGGATAGTTCATTATTATAATATTTATATGCACCTTTGTTCAGTTTTATAACCACTCCAGTGGCTAACATACATTTTTGGAGCTCTGAAACTTGTCCATATAAGGGAATTGTCGGGGGAGGCTTCGGGACCATTATCAATAGATTCTTGGATACAACTGCCAAAATATAAGCTATGAATAGATTCTGATGAACTCAATGAGCCAACGCAGCTGAAGGGTCGGGCGCTACAAGCAAGCTGTAAGTTTGTAATTTGACCCATTACAAGGGGATATTGGGGCCATATGAAATGTCTATCAGAACATATTCTAAGACCAACATTAGCAACTTCGACCCATTGGCTTATGATTCTATCACTAAAATAGTTAACATTAATAACAGACACTTAAAAGAAAACAACTATTTTGTTGAAAAATTCACACATTAACAAAAGTTGCTTCAGGGGCCCATCTGGGATTAGGGGATTTGAAGCTTAAGCTTAATAAGTTTAATAGTAGATCTGCCAGTGAACCTCTTCATTAAACGAATGCAAGCAACTGTGTAGGTTTATGTGTAACTCACTTGGATTAAGGCGGTTTTGTAAAACGTCTAGTTTCCTGTGGGATTTGCTCAAAAGATAATAAAAAGGGCATTAATTTGTTTTAGCTCTTGAAACCGAAAATTTGACATTACCGCATATGCAATAAGGTTAAAAAAACAAAAATTTCAAAAGCTTATTGACGTAAATATATATATATATATATATATATATATATATATATATATGTGTATATATATATATATATATATATATATATATATATAGATAGATAGATAATATTAGTGGTAAATATACATACGTATGCGAAATATATAAATACCCACCATCTTAATCATCTGCAATAACTCTTCTCCTTAAATTAATGTTTTGCAAAAAAAAAACAAATATGTATATAAATTTAAATATCGTTTAGTAGATTGTATCTCCGACAAAAACGTAAATATATATGTTGGCTTCACTACGACGAATCTGTCATGTATAAAGTAAGCCTTCTTGATAGTGTCGTCGTAGTGAAGCCAACATATATATTTACGTTTTTGTCGGAGATACAATCTACTAAACGATATTTAAATTTATATACATATTTGTTTTTTTTTTTTGCAAAACATTAATTTAAGGAGAAGAGTTATTGCAGATGATTAAGATGGTTGTATTAAATTTAGTATAGTATATAATTAGTTTTATTTTTTTACTGGTATTAGTGGGAGATATAATAGTACTTATGAGGATATAATAAACACAGTATAATACATTCGTATATATAAAAACAATCAAAGATATACATACAAAAAAAAATTTAAAATAAAAATAACAAAATATACAATATATTTTTAGAATAAAAATTCCAAGAGGAAGAATCCAGGTAGAACTCAATGTCCAGGACAGAGTAAGGATATAATAAAAAGGCTTAAACACTAATATTCCATGGTCATAATACGATCCAATTCATCAGACCTACAAATTCAAAAGGAAAACAACAAAAAACAACTCCGGAAATAAAAAACAGAGAGAGTGTAAGTGTGAGGGGGAGGGAGATTAAACCTTAACAGAGAGAATATTAGGAGAGGTGGGTGGAAGGGGTTTAAGTAAGAGAAAAATATTGATGTAACTATATATATAATAGCTGGATACCCGTCTACTAGGTTGGCTAGCCAATCCCTATTGCAGAAACTCGCTCAGGCACATTTGTGTTTGCTCAACAACCACTGAACCCACCTGCTGTTTATACTGCAATTATGCTGAGCAGACCTTAGTTACAGTTTCTGGGAGAGAGCGTGTTATCTAACGTGACGTGGCTTCGTGCTAGCACAGCTATCAATGGCCCACAAGAGTTCCATCATGGGTCAACACGTGGTATGTTTTTTTTTCCAAAGTTGCCGCTGGGACCTCGATCCTGTCTGATAACATCAGGAAGTCGCCTTCCCGACAAATCGACCATGGTGAGATTCGAATCCGGGTCTCATGGTTAGAAATAGCGAGGGTTCTAACCACTCAGCCACGCACCCGTATATATATATATATATATATATATATATATATATATATATAAAACCGAGTAAGAAAGACGCCGTAGTTTTGGATATTTCTTTTATTTTGCTAAGTACTTTCAATCACATTCAAGATCATCTTCAGGTGTGAATTGCTAAGAGAAAAATTAATGCAATTGATAGTTGTGATTTTTTGTAAATGCGCATGAAACGCTCTGTGTTATAGTTAATTTACGTTAAGAATATGCAAGGGAGGTAACTTAGTGTAAATTTTTATTGTTAATGTTTTAATTTAAAATTCTTTTTTCCAATTTGAGTATCCCAAGGCATTGCTTTTATAGACCTTTTAAAACATTGTTGCTATATCATAATTTTATTTAGTGTTGCTTTCCTTTTTTAATGTAGAACATCTCGAGAATTTAAATTTTTTATTTTCATGGTGGAGTATACTTGTATTGCCAATTAATGTTTCTCTAAAATGTGAATGTTGACAGGAATGTTCTTTAAAATGTGCAACAGAACTTGAATCTGTCATGTATAAAGTAAGCCTTCTTGATAGTGTCGTCGTAGTGAAGCCAACATATATATTTACGTTTTTGTCGGAGATACAATCTACTAAACGATATTTAAATTTATATACATATTTGTTTTTTTTTTTTTTTTGCAAAACATTAATTTAAGGAGAAGGGTTATTGCAGATGATTAAGATGATTGTATTAAATTTAGTATAGAATATAATTAGTTTTATTTTTTTACTGGTATTAGTGGGAGATATAATAGTACTTATGAGGATATAATAAACACAGTATAATACATTCATATATATAAAAACAATCAAAGATATACATGCAAAAAAAAAATTAAAATAAAAATGACAAAATATACAATTGAAAAACAATTACGTTTATGAAGAACACGTAACACCTGAATATGCGCGCGTCTATAAAGGAGTAAAAATAAAATGACACAAATTTGAATAAAAAAAGATGGATCTTCATTACAATTAGAAATATTTAATATCCGGATTAGTCCCTTGAAAAGTGAACATAAAACTCAGTTAAATGAAAAACCTTTTTTTCATATTAATTGTATTAACGCTTTATCTCTTATCTCCGATATTAAGCACTCCACCTTAAAAGCCTGCTTGCCTTAAATGCCTTTCTGTCAGCAAACCACTAAAAAAAAACAACAATTTTGGCTTCAAAAACTGTCTCTAATACAAACATAAAGAGAAGAGACAAGCCACAAATGTTTTTGGATCTATAATCACAATAGAAGACTTGACTACACATGAAAGTTAAGGCCTACTAACCTTTTTTAATTTCATTTATTCGCACTAGTTGCTCAAGTTAACCAAACTTATTGAAAAAGCTCCAAACTTGAAAACTAGCGAAATTCAAAATTTGATAGTGTTATTGGATCTTACCCATAATAATAATAATAATAATAATAATAATAGACTATTCCATACTTAATAAATACTGCGCCTCAGGAGTAGGCAAGTAATCAGTCGTTCACTCTTGAACCGACTGCACGGTTAAACTCTCTTCCTACGGGCGGGAGGAACCCGAAGGAGGCTACGCCGAAGGGCGGAGTCTCCTTCGGGGAGGTTAAACCGGCCCAGAACCCGTTTATGCGGGTTCAAATGGGCTATTTTTTGGCCGGGCCTAATGGCTCGGGAATGCCCACGTTAAAAAGGCCTTGTGCCACATGACACCCTCGTGGGGGGTGACTGAATATTATCAGTCGTTCACCTCTGAACTGACTGTTTGGTTCAACTCTCTTCCTACGGGCGAGAGGAACCCGAAGGAGGCTACGCCGAAGGGCGGAGTCTCCTTCGGGGAGGTTAAATTCGGCCCTGGAACCCGTTTATACGGGTTCGAATGGGCTATTTTTGGCCGGGCCTAATGGCTCGGGAATGCCCACGTTAAAAAGGCCTTGTGCCACATGACACCCTCGTGGGGGTGACTGAATATTATCAGTCGTTCACCTCTGAACTGACTGCACGGTTCAACTCTCTTCCTACGGGCGAGAGGAACCCGAAGGAGGCTACGCCGAAGGGCGGAGTTCCTTCGGGGAGGTTAAATGAAACCCGTTTATGGCCCAGAACCCGTTTATACGGGTTCAAATGGGCTATTTTTTGGCCGAGCCTAATGGCTCGGGAATTCCCACGTTAAAAAGGCCGGGTTTGTGCCACATGACACCCTCGTGGGGGTGACTGAATATTATCAGTCGTTCAACTTTGAACTGACTGCACGGTTCAACTCTCTTCCTACGGGCGAGAGGAACCCGAAGGAGGCTACGCCGAAGGGTGGAGTCTCCTTCGGGGAGGTTAAACCGGCCCTGAACCCGTTCATAAGGGTTCAAATGGGCTATTTTTTGGCCGAGCCTAATGGCTCGGGAATGCCCACGTTAAAAGGCCTTGTGCCACATGACACCCTCGTGGGGGTGACTGAATATTATCAGTCGTTCAACTTTGAACTGACTGCACGGTTCAACTCTCTTCCTACGGGCGCGAGGAACCCGAAGGAGGCTACGCCGAAGGGCGGAGTCTCCTTCGGGGGTTAAACTCGGCCCTGGACCCGTTCATACGGGTTCAAATGGGCTATTTTTTGGCCGAGCCTAATGGCTTGGGAATGCCCACGTTAAAAAGGCCTTTGTGCCACATGACACCCTTGTGGGGGTGACTGAATATTATCAGTCGTTCACCTCTGAACT